ATACTGGAGTGTTTTGAAGGTGTTAATAAACATGGATAAAGGTTTGATATAGTTTATCTGGGTTCCCTGAAAGCTTGAATAGCCTCAAAAAGGGCTCTTAAGGAGTCTAAGGGCCATTGGAAGCTTGAGGAGATCATTGCATTTGTGCATAATTTGTTGAGATTTAGGAAACAGAAGGTTGTAAATGAGCGGCTTTTGCAGTGGATAAGTCTCACGAGAGTCTCAGCTGTCTCCTCTGCTGTTCAGATACTCATAGATGACTTTGAAAAGGGGCTGAAGCTGAGGTGATACAGTGTGTATGTGATACTAAGATACTCAGGAAACCTAGGGCAAGGGCTGACTGGAGAAGGACCTTACAAGACTGAATACTGCACAATAACACAGCAGACGGAGTTCAGTGTTGGTAAATGTGAAGTTTTGGAGTCCAGAGCTGGATTTAGCAGCCATACTCCCCAGTGATAAACCAGGGGAAAAGAAACAATCCCACTGTATAAAATGACAGGCTCTGACTTGACCATTCCCACAACAGTAGTGAAATCTCAGAGTTACAATGGATAGTTCTGTCAAAATTTCAGCTCGGTAGCGATCAAATAAAGAAGGTACATCATTTCCCTGTAGGAAATGTACAATAGTATCACTGCATCACTGACTAAATATATGTTGAAGAGCCTATGCAGTTGTGGTCCCCCAGCTCAGAAGGACAGAGTATGATCAAAGATATGTTGCACAGAGTGTAGTAAAAAGTAGCTTTATGTGTATGATTGCACAGCACAATGCAATGCAAGCATTACGAGCTAGCTCAGTCCCAGAAGCAATGTATATGTGCTAGAGCAGCACTCTACCTGGTTTACTCACTCCTGCCGCTTGTTTGGGCTGTGGAGTGTCTGTATGGCCCTTTTTTTGCTACATTTGTAACCTAAGTCTCATGAAGATTACTGGGGAGTGTGGGTTGCTAAATCCAGCTCTGGACTCCAACTTTGAGTATGCCAAAATTGAGGTGCCAAAGGTTTATAACCACCATCTCCTGAAAATTTAAGTTTTTCCCACTTTGTGGAGGAAATTATCTTGATACTAGGAACCAATAGCAGATCTCCTGATTTATTATCCAGTCTGCTAGCTACCCAAGCATCTCTCCATTAGCACAAGCATATGTTTGGCTTTAAGTAGCCCTAGTAAGATGTACTTTCACAAATAAATCTGCATCATCAACGTTTGTTTTTAATTGTTATATCTGCTGCTATCAGCAGATACTCAGTTCACACACAGCACCTTAGCTATGACTGGCTGTACAATCTGCACAGATTGGCATGGTCATGTCAAGTCATGGTGATGAGAAACTGATTTTGTTATGGAACATTTGGAGAATTTCAAAGCAATCATACTTCTTAATACAATAATTTGATTCATTTTCAGGGAGACATTTTTGTCCTCTGGGAATGTTTCAGCCTACCAGAGCGTTACAGACAGGATATGCCATGCGTTGCCTCCACTGAGTAACTCTGTGATTCAGAGTGCGTTTGCTTCACAGCTAAGGCTCCCACAGCTTCTGGATCCTCAAAGCTGCAGGGTGAGTAAAACATACTCTCACAGGCACTCTGCCTCTGTTTGCACTGCGCTCCTTGGAGAAGGAAGTACACTGAAGTTCTTTCTGGGTGCTCACTCCTTCCTTTCTACGGTGCAAAGAACCTAACAGCTAATAGCTAATTGAAATAATTCCTGTGATCATGGCTAATTAACTAAATTAATCGTTTGGGGTGCTAGAGAAAGTTCTCTACATCAGTGAATCATAAAAATTTAAGATGGAATGTAATCACAACATTGATGTTACCAAAATGCAATTATTCTCAGTGATATTCTCAGTGAGCGCAGCCAACAGAGGCAGCGAACAGACGTAGCAGTTTGCGCAGCAATTTGCGCAGAAGGGCGCCAGAAGGCAAAGAAGGCACCTCTCCGTTTTGCACAGTGGTGTGTCCTTCCCCGGAGCATGGTCATGACACGCCGCAGAGCACGTTCCCCCGTGGCTGCTGGAGGTGCTGCATCAGCTGTGTCTGAGGCTTCAACCCAGACAGACCCTCGGACAGCAGATGCAGCTCTGCAGGTGTCAGGCTGCGGGGAGTGCCTGGGGCCTCTCCGCGAGGCCTGGGCTGACAGTCAGCTCTCCTGTGTGAGGTGTGCTGTGGTTGACCAGTTGCGTCACCAGATAAAGGAGTTACGGGAGGAGGTTAGTAGGCTGCGTAGCATCCGAGAGGATGAGCGGGAGATTGACAGGGCGTTCTCGGAGACTGTTCAGCTCCGGGAGTCCCCTG